AAACCAGGTAAAGTTAGAATGTTGTTGAGTTCAGACAACAGAAAGAAATCCTCAATCACAAAACCAGGTAAAGTTAGAATGTTGTTGAGTTCAGGCAACAGAAAGAAATCCTCAATCACAAAACCAGGTAAAGTTAGAATGTTGTTGAGTTCAGACAAAAGAAAGAAATCCTCAACCCACAAAACCAGGTAAAGCTAGAGTGTTGTTAATTTCAAACAACAGAAGGAAATCCTCAAACCACCAAATCATGTAAAGTTAGAATGTTGTTGAGTTCAGACAACAGAAAGAAATCTTCAACCAACCAAACCAGGTAAAGTTAGAATGTTGTTCTTTTGAGACAACAGAAAGAAATCCTCAATCACAAAACCAGGTAAAGTTAGAATGTTGTTGAGTTCAGGCAACAGAAAGAAATCCTCAATCACGAAACCGGGTAAAGTTAGAATGTTGATAAGTTCAGACAACAGAAAGAAATCCTCATCCCACAAAACCAGGTAAAGTTAGAATGTTGTTGAGTTTAGACAACAGAAAGAAATCCTCAATCACAAAACCAGGTAAAGTTAGGTAGTTGTTGAGTTCAGACAACAGAAAGAAATCCTCAACCAACCAAATCAGGTAAAGTTAGAATGTTGTTGAGTTCAGACAAAGAAAGAAATCCTCAACCCATAAAACCAGGTAAAGTTAGAATGTAGTTGAGTTCAAACAGAAAGAAATCCTCAATCCACGAAACCAGGTAAAGTTAGAATGTTGTTAAGTTCAGACTACAGAAATAAATCCTTAACCCACCAAAAGAGGTAAAGTTAGAATGTTGTTGAGTTCAGACAACAGAAAGATATCCTCAACCCACCAAATCAGGTAAAGTTAGAATGTTGTTGAGTTCAGACAACAGAAATAAATCCTCAACCCACCAATCCAGGTATTGTTAGAATGTTGTTAATTTCAGACATTAGAAAGAAATCCTCAACCCACAAAACCAGGTAAAGTTAGAATGTTGTTGAGTTCAGACAACAAAAATTAATCCTCAATCACAAAACTAGGTAAAGTTAGAATTGTGTTGAGTTCAGATAACAGAAAGAAATACTCAACCCACCAAACCAGGTAAAGCTAGAATGTTAGGAATATCTTGTAGTCTCTTTATACAATTTATATCCAGTATTTCTAATTAAATTTTATTAATTATTATGAAATGTTTGATGAAATCCAGTGCTGATAAGGTGTTCCGAGATGACATGACTTTACATTACTGATCAATATTTCTGATAAAATGATTCTTTAATATCTGAATGCATTACCTCATATAATATCACAGATATTTGTGGTAGAATATCAGTGGTTTAGTGTTAAGTTTGTAAAGTCATTACTGTTTGTGATTTATGTAAAGTATCGACATGTTATTCTGGCTCTTTCAATGTTGCTCGAGATAGGAGATAGAAGGTGTCATCTTAAGAAGAAAGAAAAAAGTCAACACACTATCAGAAGAAAACAAAAATGATAGGCTGCAGCACCTAATGGGTTCAAGTGGGTCAAAGCTCGAGGATGAAGAGGTTGAAAATGAACAACCAGACACAGAGATTACTGGGATTAGTGAAAGTGGCTACATTTTCTCATCAGTGGACAGTTCAGTAGAGGAAAATAGGTAAGATTTATTACAGATAAAAAATAAACAAAAGTAGAAAAAGTAAATATTGAACTAAACTTTAGAAAAAAATAAAACTCTTTCTCAAACATATAAGTAGGAATAACTAATTTAATTACATAAAATAACTAAATACTGTTGGTTTACTTGCAGGTCTTACTTTGTGAATGCTACAAATGAAGAAGACTTTCAGGAAAGCAACAAAAAATCTTCACTAGAACAACTTGAGGATACTCTTTTTAATAACATTCCTGGTTAGTTTTATTGTACGTTCCTAAGGATACTCTTTTAATAACATTCCTGGTTATTTTTATTGTACGTTCTTAAGGATACTCGTTTTAATAACATTCCTGGTTAGTTGTATTGTACGTTATTAAGGATACTTTTTTAATAACATTCCTGGTTAGTTGTATTGTACGTTCTTAAGGATACTCTTTTTAATAACATTCCTGGTTAGTTGTATTGTACGTTCTTAAGGATACTCTTTTTACTAACATTCCTGGTTAGTTGTATTGTACGTTCTTAAAGATACTCTTTTTAAGAACATTCCTGGTTAGTTGTATTGTACGTTCTGAAGGATACTTTTTTAAATAACGTTCCTGGTTAGTTGTATTGTACGTTCTTAAGGATACTTTTTTTAATAACATTCCTGGTTAGTTTTATTTTACGTTCTTAAGGATACTTTTTTAATAACGTTCCTGGTTAGTTGTATTGTATGTTCTTAAGGATACTCTTTTTAATAACGTTCCTGGTTAGTTGTATTGTACGTTCTTAAAGATACTATTTTTAATAACGTTCCTGGTTAGTTGTATTGTACGTTCTTAAGGATACTCTTTTTAATAACGTTCCTGGTTAGTTGTATTGTACGTTCTTTAGGATACTCTTTTTAATAACGTTCCTGGTTAGTTGTATTATACATTACTGTTATTAATACTCCCACTTAGTTGTGTTATTACGTTTCTGTTATTAACACTCACACTTGGTTGTGTTATTACGTTTCTGTTATTAACACTCACACTTGGTTGTGTTATTACGTTTCTGTTATTAACACTCACACTTGGTTGTGTTATTACGTTTCTGTTATTAACACTCGCACTTGGTTGTGTTATTACGTTTCTGTTATTAGCATTCACACCTGGTTGTGTTATTACGTTCCTGTTTTGATAAAAAGTTTTAAAAAACGACCTTTACATTCCAGATATACATATATTATTACGTCTCCGTTCGTTCGTTAATTAATTTTCCGTAAAATTCGTTCCAACGAAACTTTA